TTAGAATAATAATGCTAATAACTGTCTAATCTTTAGAGGAAGATGTGATACATTTTAAAAACAGCTTAAACCAGAGTGAAAAAGGAGCAAAGGTCTAAAGCTACTTTTTTTGTTTTTTTTTTGTTTGTTTTTTCGAGACAGGGTTTCTCTGTGTAGCCCTGGCTGTCCTGGAACTCACTCTGCTAAGGCTATTTTTTAAGGTTACTGTTTCTATCCCTTTTCAACCCAATGCCAAACAAATGAAACATGAAGACCGCTCTTAGACAAGTCACAAACAGCACAGGCCCTAAGCACTTCTAAGAGGCGATGAGCTCCTAGAAGAACCTCACAAAAGGATGGAGCTCCTACCCAGAAAAATGCACACAACCACATACAGAAAAATCTATGCATACTACTTCGGGGGACTTTCTTCAGCCTCATGTACTTCAGAACAAGTCTGATAAATCTAATAAAGGAATCCAGAAACAAAAACTGGTCAAAACCAAAAAGGGTTTAGTAGGCAGAAAAGCCCTACAGCTAGAATTGCTCATCTGTTAAGTGGCTGATTTAAGAACCACGGAGGACTGAAAGGCAGAAAATAAAAAATAAAAATAGAGCCGGGCGGTGGTGGCGCACGCCTTTAATCCCAGCACTCGGGAGGCAGAGGCAGGCGGATTTCTGAGTTCGAGGCCAGCCTGGTCTACAGAGTGAGTTCCAGGACAGCCAGGGCTATACAGAGAAACCCTGTCTCGAAAAACCAAAAAAAATAAAAAAATAAATAAAAAATAAAAATAAAAATAAAAATAGAGACGCTTTACAAATCTCAGCAGCCAGGCATGAAGGCCTGTAATCACAGCACCAAGGAGGCTGAGGCTGGAGGACTGGAGTCTGGAATACACAGTGAGTTCCAGGCCAGCTACAGTACAACCCTAGCTCAAAAAAATTAACAAACAAAAAGGCAAATCAAAATAATGATCTCAGGAAGATCACTGCCAAGTTTGAGGCTAACCTGGACTACAAAGCAATTTTCAGACCAGCCAGGACAAAAAAAAAATTTCTCCCTCCACACTTTAATGAAAACACAGTTAGCTCATTAGTCATGTTTAGAATGTTTAATGTGAATATCCACATGGTATTTACCTACAAAATCCCATATGGTTTTACTCAACCTAAAAAAACTCAGCTATAAATCCAAGATTCAGTCACAGAATTAGATTTTATGCACAATTGGCTCCTTTCCACTGGCTAAACAAACACCAGTGACTAAGTCTTTGTTAAGACTTCCTACAGAGTTGTTTTCTTGACAATAATGTAACACATTTTGAAGAGTTAGACCAGAAGGTTCTCTATGAATATTGTAAACTGGGTCTTTATTTAACCAGCAGACAACGAGCGTCTCCCTGAGAAGGCATCAAGACCCGTCAAATGTACTATTAGTCCAGGAAAAGATGGCCAAAGCCTCAAAACAGTAGCAGTGCACAACTTCTTTAACTCCCTTCCAGAGCTCCGACCCCCTCCTCTGGATCGTGTGCATCAGGAATGCAAGCGCACAGACAGATACCACCACCCCTAAAATAATAAATAAAAGTGCCGACAAAGCAGAGGCAGAGAGAACGTACAGTGGTGGCTTGGTGACAGGTGAATGTGCTGGGTTCCACACCATCCTGGGGTAGGCTGGTCCTGGAGAAACGCTGACACACAAGCAGGTCTGACCACCCGGCTTCGGAGTAACAGAGCTGACGGAGGAAATATAGGGACCATAAGCACTTCCTAACGGGATCATGAGCGTACCAAGGAAATTAATAAATGTTTACTTTTAAAGGATGTATTTTAATATGCATGAGTGTCTTACCGACATGTAATATTTGTGTATCATGCACATACCCAGTGTCCACAGACATTCTTCTTCATAGCCAGAGTTATATCTACCCTAGGCCTGGAGTTACAGTTATTAGCCACCATGGACATGCTGGGAAGAGAACCCAGGTTCTCTGGAAGAGCAGTAAGTGCTCTTAACCTAAGAGCCCTCTTCCCATCCCAAACTTCATTCAGTGAAAAAAAAAAAAAAAAACAGAATCTGTACTGGGGACGTAGCCCAGTTGTCTGCCGAGCACTCCTGGGGCTACTTCCAACACCAACCACATATACCTCAGCACTGGAGAGGCAGGAGCAGAAATTCAAGGTCAGCCTCACCTACATATGGGGGGTCTGAGGTCAGCATGGGGTCACATGAGACCCTGTCTCAAAAACAAACAAGGAAAACCTAGACTCCTAATAGGAAGCTATGTATCTAAAAGGCCTCGCTTTCTTTCTTTAAAAACTGGCGGCTCTTGCTCTTACGCGCACTCTTGTTCTCACGAGCACTCTTGTTCTCACGTGTACTCTTGTTCTTACGCGCCTAGTTATCTAGTACTAACTGCACGAAGACTGTGCTTGGCAACAGAGCAAGAAACATAAGGACAAAAAAGTCTTTGCCCTCAAGATATACAATTTAGTTCAGAAAGTTCACCTACTGTCCTCTTCCTTTTCAAGACCAAATCTCATCTGTACCCTTGGACCTCTCCTTCCTGTCCCCCTTCGGATCTTGTCTCTTGGTTAAGACAGACTGATGTTCACCCAGCTACATCACAGATTAGCCATGGGATGATAAACAGCTAATTTAAATAGACCGTAGAATGAAGAAGAATGTTCTGGATTGCTTTCTGTTACTATGATAAATACTGTGACCAAAATCAACTCAGGGGAAGAAAGTGTTTACTTCAGCTTCCGATTCAGGTCACTGTCCATCGTTGAGGGAAATCACAGGGAGTGGAGTGCTGCTTACTGGCCAGTTCCACAGCTCACACTCACTAGGTTTATTATTCACTCCAGGCACGACTGCCTAGGATAGTGGCCTGGGTCCTTCTACATCATCAATCAAGACATTCTCTCCCAGACATGGCCAAAGGCTAATCCAATGGAGGCAATTCTTCAGTTAAGTTCCCTCTTTCCGATTGCCTCTGAGTTGTATGAAGTAGGCAAAACCTAGCAAACACAGTCAACAACTACATTTGTAACATAACACTGCTAAAAACTAGGCAGAGTAAACAAAGGTTTAATCTGTTCCCAGAATGCTAACTGCATACACAAAAAGATAATTTAATATCCTCTCCTGTCTTTTTTTTTTTTTGGGGGGGGGGAGGTGTGCATGGGAGTGGGGTGGGGGTGGAAGGTGGTTACAGGGTTTTACTGTTAGCCCTGGCTGACCTGGAACTCTCTATGACCAGGCTAGCTTCTAACTCAGAGAGTTGCCTTGCTCTTCGTCCCTTGCCCCATGACCTTGAACCTTTTGACCCTCCCATCTGCACCACCAAGCACTAGAATCACCAGCCTGTGAAAGCAGGCCTGAGCTCTTTCTAGTCTTCCTTCTGTGAAGTGTTGCCTAAGTCTGCACTTCCCAACTGTTCAACTATGGAACTGTTTTTCATACGCCCCGTGTCTATTCCAACAAGAGACGATCAAGTGACTCCATGCAGCCAATTCCAGGAATAGCCAATAGCCCGCCAGGTATTTCCCTCTATACATCACCACATCCTACTGACACAACTCCTTAACACTTCCTGAGACTGCCTTCTTCTCCTTGTACCTTTCTGAGCTCAGGACTTCACCTGCCTGGCTACCACAGTGTGCCTATGTCATCTCCATGACTTGGGTCTGAACCTGCTCTGTCTCCATCAAGGTCATGTACTACACTGTCACTAACCCTAAGTCTAGGCTGAGTCTGAGACTATAGAGTCTGCCAACAGGACATATGCTCAGCAAGCATGAGATGCTAGCCTCAAAAGAAAATGATTTTGAGGCTAAGTGGTGCACACCAGCTACTCAGGAGGCTGAGACAGGTCAAGTTCCAGGACAGCCTAAGCAACAATAGTAACGGCAAAAATAAACCAAGATTGTAAACCTATCATCCTTTCAATCTTACTCCCAACCTGGGCAACACATAAAGACTGTATTTTCAAAATAGAATACAATAAGTTCTGTGGCTTAGTTCCAGTTTGTCTTTCTAGGCTAACTTCACACTTGGACTTTCACAAATATTACTGTATTTGTTCCATTTGATCGCACCCTGTTTCATCTTTATATCCTCTCACTTTGGCTTTTGCTGATCCGGGTTACTATAACGAGAATGTAATTCCCTGCAGACCCAAGGCAGGTCAGTCCTTCCAAAGCAAGTATCCCAAACTTTCTCTACACTCATTACTAATGTCCATATAACACAACAGGGTTTCCTTTTCTTTGCCTGTAACCTATCACACACACACACACACACACACACACGAAGTTCTTCGAGAGTTGAAACTGTTTAATTCGTGTTTGTATACCAGCCTCTTAAGTGCCCGGTATAATGAAAATGCCTGGATAAATGATTACCGAAACCCTGAGTGATGGTGCATGGTTGTTATGCCAGCACTCGGGAGCCAGTCAGAGGGATCCCGGCAAGCTCCAGATCTTCGTCTTGTCTACATGGCTAGATCGAGGAAAGACAACACTGCATAGCAAGCCACTCAAATTATCAAACGAATTCCTTCCACCCACACTCAAATAGGAGTTTGTTTTCACTTTAGCCCGGTGCCACAACCACAGTCCAGATGCGGAAAGTAGGAGCTGGGGAGACCAGCCAGCAGGTAAACACTTGGGCCTTTGGGCTACAGTGTCACCGCTGCGTCCGCATAAGGTGCCTCGAGGGCACAAGAGGAAGTTCCTTCCTCTCAAGACGTCCCACCACCCGGCGGTCGAGCCCTCACTCCTTCCTTTCCTCTGCTGCAGGCTGCAGCAAGAACCTTTGATGGCCAAGACACCTCACCTCGAGTTCCTTGGCCACTGCAAAGAACGCCCAGCTTTAAGAGAACCGCCATGTCGCTTTTGAGGGGCTCAAGGTCACCCTACAGCCCGGAAGCAGTTATGTAGTAAGCCCCGCCCCTCGTTAGAGAACGGTGAAGCAATCTCAAGCGTGAACCGGAAGGCAGGAGGCGGCGCGCTTCCTCCGCGCGTGCGTGCCTCCGCGAAGCCCCTGGCGCTGACAATGGCGGAGCTTGGTGAAGCGGACGAAGCGGAGTTACAACGCCTGGTGGCCGCCGAGCAGCAGAAGGCGCAGTTCACCGCGCAGGTACGAGGATGAGGAACAGGGAAAGGAGGGTGACGCGCAGATCCCGGGCACTCATGGAGCTCTGAACACTGCGGCACAGCGGGCCCACCCGGCTGCGCCTCCCGCCCTGGTGACTACAGTGCTCAGTACCGGTGAGGCAAGCGCTGCGTGGGAAGACAGGGTTAGAAAGCAGCGGAAAGGTTTGGGCAACAGGAGCATTGCATTCGGAGTCCCTGGGTTCTGACCTTGGAGCACTGGTGCCTGTAGACAAGACACCGGTCCTCACCTTGAGTTCTGGGTTCGCTGTTGCCCCCTGCCTCAGCATTGGGTCGTGTGATAATGTATTCGGAAATGGTGATCATTATTAGAGAAAGCTGAGCCCTGCAGCAATCAGTGCAGACTCCGTCGGTGTGGGACAGGGTTTGGAGTATTTCAGGCATATTTCAAACTAGGGTTTTAACCATTTAATCAAGATAACCTTGGAAATACTGATAGCTATCAAGAACTGACTAGTTCCTGACTTTAAATGTCCTGACTTTCTCTCATTTTAAATTGCTAGTTGCTTTGAGAATTGTGAAGGTATGAGTCGTTGGTTTGGTTTGAAGACAGGGTTTCTCTGTAGCCTGGCTGACTTGTGACTCCCTCTGTAGACCAGGCTGGCCTTAACTCAGATCTACCTGCCTCTGACTCCCAAGTGCTGGGATTAAAGGCTTGCCCCAGCATCACTCCGCAAAAGTATGAATTCTAATGAGAATTTACTGTCTGTAAGGACGCAGATATGGGACCATTACTGGTGACAAAGAGTAGTCCTGAAGTGATCCTACAATGCCATTACTTGTCACAGAATGAGGAAGATATCTCAGACCCTAATGATAAAAGGCTTTTCTCTCCCTTAGGTGCATCACTTCATGGAACTATGTTGGGATAAGTGTGTGGAGAAGCCAGGAAGTCGGCTAGACTCCCGCACTGAAAACTGCCTCTCTAGCTGTGTGGATCGCTTTATTGACACTACTCTTGCTATCACCGGTCGGTTTGCCCAGATCGTACAGAAAGGAGGGCAGTAGACTATACCTTAGAATGACAGAAGACCAAAAGACTTACTAAGCAGATGGAATAGCCAGTGGTGAAAGACTTGTCAAAGTGTCTGTTGGTGTTAAAAAGTAAGAGAGCAAATGTTCAAAAGTGAAATTTTATTTATGGGAATTCAGTAATTCCAACTTGTATCACACCAGTTAATAAAAGTGAAGTCTCCGATTCTTTTTTCTTCTAAATCCCAATTTAGGATTCAACATAATCATCTCTAAGGAACACTAATAAGAAATGTTCCAGAGCTGGTAATGCAAATGGGAGAGTACAGGTTTTCAAAAGTGGCTCTAAACCATTGTTAAGGGGATTAGAGGAACCATCAAAGCCTTAGCCTAAGGCATGGATTAGAACAGAAACTACTTTATTGCTTATGTGCAAGAAAAGATGGAACATGGCGGGAGGTGGGGTATGTTAAATTAGGCAAAATGTGCTTTCCTTGGGGAAAAAAATAAGTCTGTTATGCATAGGAGGAAGGTAAGGTCAAAACTCAAACTTGGAAGTGCCTTACTTGCAGAACCACCTTCCTGAGTCTGTGCTTAGAATCAGTACATTTGTAGCACAAAACTGCATTAAAAATGCATGCCCAAAACTACTTCCAACAACGATATTACTTGCTTCTAGAAGGTTATGAGGTAGTAACTAGAGTCTCCCTCCACTAAACCCAAGGAAAAGAATACACATTGGAACTTGTTAAGTTTGAGTACTAAAGTCATTAGTGTTTCAGTATCCCAAAAGGCGGCACCTGCTCATAATCAAGGGATAGGGCACATCTGGCCAACCATATATTTTAAGAACAAGCACTTTATTAGAAATGTTCCATAAAGAGCACAAATTTAGAACTATAAAATGCCACTTCATGGGATGTCAGCATTGTCGTATTCTATTGCTGGTGTTGTCATGCTAACCATGAAGTATCTTTGTATTACACGTGGAAAAGTAAGGCCAGGGAGGTTAGTTAACCTGCTCTAGAACGCAATCAATTAGTAGTAGAACCATGACATTTCGTGCACTTCAGTACCAAAGTGACAACCTCAAAAGCAAAAACCTTGACAATGTCACTTTATCTTTCCTCTTAATGAAAAGTCAACTGTTCTGCCAACCACTTTCCAGTGGTATTTTGGTTTCTTTTAATATCAGGATCACAGTATATAGCAGGGGGAAATAATATGTTCTTGATAATCAAAACACAAAGTCAGACTGGGAAGTGGGTTATGTCCCTGAGAAGTGTGTTTCATTTTGGAATTGATTCAACTGTTTCAGGGAAAATCTAAAATCCATTAATAAAATTAGAAATGAACAAGGAAAACAACAGGACTCGGGGTATGGCTCAATGGTAGAGCACTTGCCTAGTGTATGCAAGGCCTTCAGTTCAATCCCCAACTCAGCAAAAAGGAAAAAAAAAGACGTTTAGATGGCTGATGCCATGAATCTCTTTGAAAGCATCATTGGCAACATAACTACTTCCTAATTCTTTCCATTTGATAGACAGGACAACTAAACAAATAATTCCAAACACAAGCCCATTTAGGCAATATACAGCAATGGAACTAGAAAAACATTTACTATCCAGTTACTGTTATATTTGAGTTATGCTAAATGTAGCTGTAGACCCTGACCAGCAGGGAAGTTAAGCAGAAAACCCTAGGTTCCTTAGCAGTCATCTGTAGATATTACCATGAAAGGAAAGGTTTGTTCTTGTAACTATTTCCTCACTAAGTAAACTAGATACCTATAGGGCCCAACTGCAGAAGAATCAAAGCACCAAAGCTGAAGGCAGTATACCTCCTGTATAGATAGCAAGGTCTCCTTGTCAAACCATTCTATCTAGCACTACACTTCAGTCCTCCTCCTTCATCATGGACTCTTGATTCCCCCAAATCCACCATTCCAATTGGTATGCCCAGGTCATTACTGAGTTCTGCTTTCTGGGTTCTTTAATTTGTTGTATAGGTATTCTACCCTAAGTGATTAATTGAAAAAAATAATCTCTTCAAGAAACCTTAACAAAATACCAGATTCCCTATTAACAAAGGGGGATGGGGATTAACAAACCAAAATAGGAAAAAAGGTAGCTGTGGCAGGGCAACTCTAACCTCAGACTCCTGTGCTGTAGAAGTCACCAGCAAACACCCCCCCTCTTTTTTTAAGAGTCAGTGGGAAACAGGACTGCTGCTCCCCCACTTAGTCATCCTCTGAGCTCTCAGCAGACCTGGCATCGGTAGCCACCTTCCAGTTCCTGCGCTTGCTTGTCCTCTCCTGTACCTCGGGGTCAGGCACAGGAATATGGACACTCTTGTCTTTCTTTTTCCTTTTGGTTTTCTTAGTGTCTCTTTCCTCAATTTCCTCAGAACTGCTAGATGCAGAATCATCTGACTGAGAAGTATCACTTTCTTCCTCTAAAGGTAAAGATTTTTTAGGAGACTTTTTCCTGGATTTTTTCTTGCTCTTGTGTGGTTGCTTCCTTTTCCTGGTACTAGAAGCTCGAGTTTCCTCTGAGAACTCACTTGAGGAGTCTGCTGTTATGTCTGTGGCTTCCTTTTTGTTTTTCTTCTGTTTTTTGTGTGACCGTTTTTTCTGCTTCTTCTTATGGGATTTCTTTGACTTCTTATGTTTCCGGGATTCATGGGCAGATGATTTTATCTGGGGAGATGTTTTTTTTCCATTGGTAATGTCTTGCTGATCACTACTATTGAAATAAAAGACAGAACTTTTATGGAGGAAAGAAAAGGTACATTTCTATTTAATACTCTGCACTCTAGGTAAATTATTAACATCTGAACTGTAAGTCAGAACTTTGAACTGGGTATGGTGGTGCACAGCTATAATCCTAGCACTCAGAAAGCAAAGCAAGACAACCTCCCAAGTTTGAGGACTTCCTCTACGTAACAAGTTCTACACCCCCAGAACTACAAAAAGAGACATCACAATACATACACACCCAGCAAACGAGAGCTCTGATGGTTACTGTGTGGCTCATCTATTATTATTACAAAGGTTGTATTTCCTTATCTTTAAAACCCTAACTTGAGCTAAGCATACTGGTTTATACCTATAATCCCAATATTTGGAAAGTAGAGGCAGGAGGGTCAAGAGTTCAAGGCCATCTTGAGCTATAGGAAATCCTGTCAAAAAGCAAACTCCTGATCTGCCAGGCTGTTACATATGAAATACCAAACACTACTGCTCCCATATTCATGGTTTCATTTTCTCAGATTCCTGCCAGCCAGAGTCAATTCCAGAAAAAATTTGTAAGATTTTAATTGCATATCATTCTCAATAAGAGGATGAAAATCCTCACTATTCCACTGTGTCCCACCTAGGACCTGAATCATCCCTGTGTCTACTTCCAACCATCTTAGGTCATTTACAGCCATCTGGGTTATCAGGTCCACTGTTTGGTATAGCTTGTTTTTATTTTATTTAACAATGACCCCAAAGCACAAGCATGATGCTGACAATTTATATATGGCTAAGAGAAACAGTAAGATACTTCCTTACAGAGCAAAGAAGGTTCTAATAGGTACTGTATTTATAATAATTTAAAAAAAATATGGAAGATAGGAAGACAGACTATAAAATAATTATAAAATATCTAAGGTTTTGGGGCATCTTGGAATATGTTCACTACAGATGATGTTGCTGTTATTTTTTTAAACCCTTAGGCTTACAGAACAAACTTCAGTCTGGAAATATACATCAGGATTGTCTCCCAACTAAATTTGGCTTGTTTTCTTTGTTTTGGAGATAAGACATTATGTCCCAGGCTGGACTCAAACTCCTGGACTCAGGCAATCCTGCCTCAGGCTCCTGAATAGCTGAGACTTCAGCCATGCACTACCATTCCAGGTTCTAGTTATATTTTCTTTTTTTTTTTTTTTTTTTTTTTTTTTTTTTTATTTATTTTATTGATGAGTACACTGTAGCTGTCTTCGGACACACCAGAAGAGGGCATCCAATCTCATTACGGATGGTTGTGAGCCACCATGTGGTTGCTGGGATTTGAACTCAGGACCTCTGGAAGAGCAGTCAGTGCTCTTAACCGCTGAGCCATCTCTCCAGCCCCTCTAGTTATATTTTCAATGACAAACTAATCCTTTGTAAATGTTAGGAATGCTAACTGATGGCATAATTTTGTGTTCATCTGAAGTGTTTGGTTTTGTTCCAGTAAGTGCATTTACCTACCTGTCTGTTTCAAACTCTTCAGGATATAACTCTTTATAACCACTGTGACCCCATCTGTAAGGTGACATAATACATGTATTTTATGAAGCAATACATATCATTTTTGGAAATTAAAACAAAATTAGATTTTGGATTGCATCAATACTATATGCACACACAGAGAGAGAAAAAAAGGGGCAGAGTAAATAGCTTAGTAATAGCTCTACTTTCTATACTACTGTCATATCAGACACAGGAGATACTGTTCTTTACCAGACACTACAGAATTCATATGGTCTTTTCTTTAGCAGTGAAGTTCTCCCAAACTACAACATGTTATCTACTCTGGGACACTCTAAAGTGATTTGCATGTCAGGTGCAGAACCTGTAGCCCAAAACAAACCTGAGTATTTCTGTCTCTATAGATTTTCCATTCTAGACATACTACATAATACAAAAAACATGTGGCCTTTGTATCAGACTTCTTTTAACATTTGTGAAGTTTTCGAGGTTAAGCATAAATAATTAGTACTTATCCATTTTACCACCAAGTATTATTCCGCCGCTATAAGGGAAGCCTACATTCTGTTTAATGCATTCATCCAAATGGCGGGAGTCATTTCTTAGCCACTGTAAGTACTGCTATGCATATCCACTTACAAGCTTTTATGGGGACAATCTGTTTTGAAGATTTATTTTTACTAATTTTTGTGTATGAGTGTTTTGCCTGCCTACACATACATGCCCAATGTCCACAGAGATCAGAAGAGGGTATCAGATCCCCTGAGCTGGAGTTATAAGCAGTTAAAAGTTGCCTTGTATGTGCTAGGAACCAAACATGGGTCCCCTACAAGAGCAACAAGTGCTCTTAACCACTGAGCCAGCTCTGCAGCCCTAGGACAATTAATTTCAACAAATACATATTCTCAAGCCAAACACCATTAGGGGGTCACAAGAATGTAATCACAAACCTGTCTGGTATATTGGATTCATAATCATATAACTTC